TTAGTCACGTAAGAAAACACCGAATGTTTTTATTATTTGTGCGTGGAAAAAAAAACATGTTTGTCAAGTATTCAAAGAAGTTATTAAATATAAAGAGAGAAGTACCAGCGTAGATCTGTTTTCGTTACCTCACAAATTAACCAAGCACATCCACTCGTTTGGTTCTTTCAAATCGAGTGGATGTCATCGGTCGAAGATTCCTAATGTATAGGATGTATTTGGCTCACACTCCACAGATGATTAGCCTGTTCCTCCTCGCTGATTATATCACAATAAACATGGGTTGCATGTTTCTCTCTGTGCGAGTGGCCCGCGCTTCTGTTGACCACAGGGACCTCAACAGAGAAGAATGAGCGCCTCTCGCTCCAAGGCGCTCATTCTTCTCTGTTCAAACGAGTGGATGTGATTGGTTAATTTTCGGAAGGCGCCTATTCTTCTCTGTTCAAACGAATGGATGTGATTGGTTAATGGGTGAGCTAGCAAAAACAAATCGACAGCGGTTCGTTCCCTTACCTTAAAGACTTTAAATCGACCAATAAGTCGAGAGAAGAACGAAAACATCGAGCGTTTAGAACAGTTTTCCGCGAAAAAATATTCGTAGATGAGACGTTCGCGCTTGATCGTTTTGCCTCTGGGTTTTTTTTCTCTGTTTATATCTTTCAGCCGTGACGAGAATGCCGAAGTTTAGAATACTTAGCAATGGCGACTTGATGCCTGAATACACGAGAGAAGCGAATGATATGTTCAAGAAGAACTTGGAGTTGCAGGACTTGCGTCAAGCAAAGGAAAAGCTAATGTGTTAGAGGCGTTACCTCACCAAACAGAGAATTAAATGGCCATCTAAACCCGAAAGCAGTAATTTCTATGAACAACGTTGCTTAAAAAAAATTATACAGATTCTGGCAGCAAATGTCTGTAATGAACTTAAAAGTATAGAAGGGCAGCGCTTTCGCAAGAGTCTACGATCGCGCTTGAACGTGTGGCGCGGACTGACAGCGCATAGAGCGGCAATCTCGCAAGTACTCGTTCGGATTGCGCTTGAATGCGTGGCGCGCGCGTCAAATGTAACGCTTGGATCATAAACGAGACAGTCGAGAGCTTTTCTCGGCGCGACTCCGATCGATTTGCTACCATTCCCTAACATAAGTCTCAAAATTCCTTGACAGAGACAATAGAAATCACTGTATAACAGTGGAAAGTCCTTCAGCAAAGAAATTCGTGTACTTGTTCCATGTCACCAGCGATGCTGACTTTTGCTGACTAGCGAAAGGAACACTTTCCCTTGAATTCATCCCTTGAAAGTATAGTTTGAGGAACTCGACGAGTCGTTTTTATGAAAGTTCAACGAGCAAATATTTCTCCAAAGAGTCAAGGCTGCCCAGCTCGACTGCTAGAATGTCTTGAGGCCCTAATAACTCAGAAGGAAACAAGTTTATTGGATATTCTTGATCCCTTCTTCACTGTTTTACTTTTCGAAAGTGTCCCATCAACGAATTTCACTCGCAATGTAAACGTATGCACTGATTATATCACAAGAAACATGATTTGCATATTTCTCTCTGTGCGAGTGGCCCGTGCTTCTGTTGACCACAGGGACCTCAACAGAGAAGAATAAGCGCCTTCCGAGGGAGAGGAACACGCTAATCTTCCCTAGAGTGTGAGCCAATCACATCCAGTAAATTAGGAATCTTCGACCAATGACATCCACTCGATTTGACCTAACCAAACGAGTGGATGTGATTGGTGAATTTGTGAATTAAAAAACGAGTGGATGTGATTGGTCAACTTGTGAGCTAACGACTACAAATCCTGTCTGTTACTTTGCATTTGCCTTGATTAAAAGTAAGAATTTAAAAATTTGCAATCAAGAAATTTAATTGAAAGAGCAAATACATCGAAGACACTGAGTGTTGTAACCTGTTTTATAAGAATTCATAGACGTGTGGCACGATCGTTTTGCCTTGGTGGTTTTTCCTCCAGTTTATGGCGAGAAATGCATGCTGAAGTTTAAACTTCTTACTTATGTAGACTCGATGTTTGGCGACGCGAGAGACGTGGATGAGATGTTCAACAACAATTCGGAGCAGCAGGAGAAGCGCCGAGAAAAGAATGAGCCGCAACTGATTAGCAAACCTCCCGAAGAGGTAAGCATACGAACAAGTTATGCTAAAATTTTGCAAGGCTAAGGTCCTGACCTCGGTTTCTATCCTTTGTTTTGTTTGTTAAAACATCAGCAAAACTAACTGGTCCATTGTGCTCTTAATTGCATCGCCCAAGGGCTGAAAATGTTTACGACCGATTTTGGTCGTCCTCGAGATAGAAGCGTCGTCGCGAAATCTGTAAGTCAGATCGCAGTGTTACTGATAAGTGGCACTTGCACTGAGAATTACTCATCAAAATTGTATCTAAGATCGATGGGAAAACGTTCACTAGGTTTGTTTACTTGTAATTGAATAACATACGACCTTGTGAACTGACCTCTTCTTATTTCGATTTATTTCGATTACTTTTTTCGATCACATTTTTTCGGGTCCATAACTTGATATAGCCACGCGAGATGTTACGAGAACACGAGAGAAGCTTTTGAATCACCAGCCGAAGGCAAGTGAATTATAAGCTTTCCGAACAATATAATGCATATTTTCAACAACAACAACAACAACAAGCCTTTATTTCATCTCGAATTTAAAATAGCAAAAATAACATGCTAATATCTCCAAGAAAAGAAATAAATAAACAAATAAATAAAATGAATTAGTTGAATTAGATGAATTAGATGAATACATAAGACACAATATATGCAATTAAGTAATTGATACAATAGGATAAACATTTCAACTATTTACAGAATGGACAGCAGTCAGTATCAAATTCGAAATTACGAATAGCCGATTTAAAAGCTCCAACTAGTGTTGGCAGTGACCTGGTCGTGTTGGGAAGGGAGTTCCGTAGTTTGCTACGATAGTAAGATAGAGTGCAGGGCATATGTAGTAGTAGTGACATGAGGGATAAAAAGAGAATGTGTACCACTAGTATGTAGATTGATGCTACATCTACATCTACTTTCTTACTTTGCAAAGCCTTACAGCATACAAGCGAAGGGTCATACAAATAAAATATACAATATATACATGACGATATTTTTAAAATAATGAAATAATAATTACAATAATAATAATAATAATTACCATTATTAAATACAAGTGAAGGGTCATACAAATAAAATATACATATATACATGACAATATTTTTAAAATTATAAAATAATTACTATAATAATAATTACCTAGTTATCTCAATTTTCTACCTATACATGCTATTGAAGTATCGAAGGATAGCATCTTTAAATTTAGCAGCACTTGGCTGGCATACAACACTTGCATGTAATGAATTCCAGTCTGTTATTGTTCTAGGGAAAAAGCTATATTTCTAAGAATCAACACGAGTTTGAATTTGAATAAAAGAATATTTATGACTAGGTCTCAACGATCTAGATTGTTTCACTACTTTGGGTGGAATGTCAAGAGCTATCTGCTTATTTAATATTTTATACATAATTGTAAGTCTATTAACAGTCCGACGTAGAGATAGGCTGTCCCATTCGAGTTCCTTTATTAGCGTAGATACACTCTGGTGACGACTATGCACACCAGTAAAGAATCTTGCAGCCCTTCTTTGAATTGTTTCCAATTCATCTATATTTTTTTTGGTGTTGAGGGTCCCATGCTGCTGTTGCATATTCCATAAGTGGTGTGACCAATGACTTACATGTTTTATCCTTAACATCCTGAGAACACTTTCCCAAATTCCTTCTAATAAATCCAAGGGTTGAATTAGCTTTTTTTGACACTTCAGCAACATGTACATTCCATCTTAGATCTTCAGAGAGGTGGACCCCCAAATAAGGATGTTCATCTGCTGGTTTCAATGCTACACCCTTGATATTGTAATCAGAAACTAAGGGGCTTATGAGTAGTTTTCTAGTTATTTTAAGCTCGTAGCACTTCTTGATGTTGAAATTCATCTGCCATCTGTCAGACCATGTTATTAAGTGATTCCGATCTCCTTGGAGAATCTCTACATCCTTCTGTGAATTTATACTCCCGTATAAAAGGCAATCATCTGCAAGCAGCTTGATATTTGATTCAATATTCTCCCCAATATCATTAATATACAGTAGGAACATTAATGATATTGTAGGAACATTAATGGATGCTGTGAGTTTTTGGACTAAACATATTAGTAATATATTCCAGTGCCAGCCCATTAAGAGATTTGTATACTAATGTAAGGATGTAATGTACACGCCCATTAAATAGTGGGCTCTCTGATGCGATTAAGCCACTCGGGACGTTAAAAGAACACGAGGAAAGCTTACAAATCGCTTCCCTTCAGCTCATGATTTACAAGCTTTCCAACATCTACGAGGTTTAATCATTTTATAGAGTCCAGAATAATGTCTTCTATAGCTCAAAAAGAGCCCAAAAACAAATGTGTACTATTACTTTTATGATATAAATGATTTACATGTGGGCTTTATAACGCAGTAAGTCTGACAGTGCGTACTATGTTCATTTGTTATAAGACGTGAATGGAATAGAATACAATAGCATAGATTGTTTGTTAATGGCTCAATATCACAATTACAATTGGTCTGAGTCAAATTTTACTGGGGAAAATAAAATGTATGGAAACCTAATTACAAGAACCAAATAAATACAGGTGCTGTAAATGATTATTTTAATACCTTGAAATATACTGTGCTAACAATGGCAAAATTTCTTTATGTGTTCATTAAATTTTCGTACAATGCTATTTTTAAGGGGTCACTTCTGACCCCATAAGAGAAAAAAATCGCCAAAAAATCGCGTTACTTCCGTTTGACGCCAAATTGGGCACACAGGAAGTAGACAGATTTTGCCGAATTGTAGGGAAGACACTTTAATTCAGCATTCATGACAAATTTTTGCGTACTCACTTCGCGATTTGTGCGACTTGTGAGCGATGGCGTCTGCAGCGAAGAGACCGAGATCGGCGAATTACTCTGTGGAACAGGATTTAGAAATAATATTTGCGGGAGATGAAGATCATTTGGGAATGTCTAGTGACGAGGAAAGTGAAATTGACCGAGAACTGGATTACCAGAGCGGAATTTCAAGGTAAGCGATATATTAACTTTCGACCGCGTGATGATGCTAGTGGTACGAAAATGTGGTCTTGAAATACGAGGAAATACTCTTCTGGTTTCTTTCATACGTGTGATTTCTTGCCAGTTTCATGAAATGTATCCATAAATTCACACATGAGAGTGAAAAGCGGCTTTCTGAGCGATTTTAGATCAAGCGACGCTAAAATATTCGGGCGAGGATCGAGATGGCTCTGATGTCACGTTGCCATTGAGAAATGCGATCGCGTTTATGATTTCGCAACGTACGTTATTGCTTTTTTCCTGTTTTATTTGGCAAAATGTTGAATCCCAATTGCGAAAAAGCAAATATTTATTTTGTTCCTAGTAGTGAGGAACAAGATCAAGAAGAATTTGAAACAGAAGAAGAGGAGGGGATGGGTTTAGACAGTTCTGTGGATGTGCCTGAGGCTACTGGTGTGTAATTTTTTTTTCCACTTGGCCCAAATGTAGCCCATTCATTAGTAATTTTGAATATATAGAAACATATAATATATATTCATGTTTGTAAGTTACTACCACATGAAAAATCTTTCCACTATATATTTTATGTTGAAGATACAAATAATTATTATAATAATTATTATGCTTGTACAGCTCCTGGTGGCTCTGCTGCTTCTGCTGCTGTACCTAACCCTGTTGCTGCCCCTGCCCTTCCTCCTGTCGTTGTTCCTGCCCCTGCTGCTTTTCCTGCTGCCTCTGCCGCTGTTCCTGGCCCTGCCCATGTCCCTGTAGCATGTTGTCACACTGCTCGTGCCCCTGCTCCCCCCCTGTTGTACGTGGTAATGCCCGTGGCCGTGCCTAACGTGGAGGTCGTGGTGGTAACCATTGTAATGGTGCAGATGCAGCTTCTGATCCAGGTAATGTTCCGTACAAATCCTATGAGGATCCAGATGTAGGTAATAACCTCCCTGAATTCAAACCTCCATGCCCGGTAGGTATTAACTTTGAGCAACGTGTTCTTCATAACACCATGATGAAGGCTGTTGAGTTTTTCAACCTTTTTCTCGCAGCAGAAATGATAGACAGTATTTTTAGAAATACTAATGATTACGCTAATCAGCATATTTTTGAAGGGACTCATCAGGCCTATGTCAAGTCAGATGGCAGTTGGCAAGATGTCACCCCAGACAAGATCAGAAAGTTAATTGCTTTACTCATTTACTTTGGTCTTGTCAAGGTGCTGGGTAGTGTTGAAAAATATTGGAGTAAGAAGTCCCTGTATAATGGTCTCTGGGCAAGATCAATCATGCCAAGACTTCGTTTCAAAACACTAATGGCTCTCCTTCATGTTGTGGATCCTGCAACTGAGGTCCAAGGAGAAAATTTACGTGAGGTTGAGTCTTTTGTTAATGTTGACAGGTCTGACCAGATCTTGGCAACAAATAATATCCCGCGTAAATGTAGGAGGTGGTGGAAGACTTTATTTTACCATCTTATTGATATTGCAGTTGTAAATAGTTTTGTCTTATTCAGAGAGCACCAGGTAAACAGTCCTGATGATGAAGCCCTTCACAGGCCAAAAGACTACTCACTTGTTAGTTTCTGGGCGGAGATGGTGCGTCAACTTTGCGGCTTCAAGGAGTAGGAGCCGGCCCCATCACAGCTCCTAAATGTATTTTTCCCATTTCTATTGTTATTACTACATTTTAACTATGCTGTTGTTGCTACACTTTTTACAAGTTCTGTTCTAAAAAAAATGTCACAAAAATACCCCCCCCCCCCACAAAAAAATACAATAATTTATGACTCAGGAATTGTTTGAGACAACTAATGTGCTATACCTTTTTGACTTATTCATCTGTAGGAACTTGCCAAGGGGTGGCAGGGGGTGTGTTGAGGGCCTATGACTTCATATGGAGGCAGAGTCGCCGAGTGGTCAGTGCGTTAGACTCGTCATCTGCTACTCTCGGGTTTGAGTCCCGCTCTGACCACCACCAGGATTTGTTTCACGGTAGCTCCGAGTTCAAATCCTCTGCTACGCTTGTAAATAGCCGACTGTTATGCCTCCGGCCAGGTGGGATTCTTAACAATTTATGTTCATTTTGAATTATTTGTTTCTGTTGTTTATTGTGGGCCTCCTGGAAAGTAGCTTTTCACACATTGTTGAGGAGTCAATGGCCAGGTATTACTTTTTAATTAATGTGTGATTCTGAATTATGTGTAGTTTCTTTCAGAAGTAGTCATTCTACAAGCCCTAATGATAGTTGGAGAGAGACCGCAGCTCATGAAATAAAGTGACTGATCACTCTTCTCATTTAATGAGGCTTGTCAAGATTGGTGATGTTGACAAGTCTTGGAACATAAAGACCCTATATCATGGTCTCTGGGCAAGAGCAATCCTATCCAGAACAAGATTCAAAGCCCTAATGGCTATGTTGCATGTGGTAGATCCTGCTAATGAAGATAAGTCACGTAAGTAGCATAGAGTTGAGTCCTTTGCTGATTATTTTAAATCCGGGTGTCTCACCCTGTACCAACCCAAAGAAACTTTAGCTATTGATGAGCATATGGTTAAGTCTCACCACAGGTCTGGTACACTTTAGTATATCAGAGACAAGCCCACCAAATGGGGAATTAAGTTGTGGGTATTAGCTGACAGTACCAATGGTTACACTGTAGACCTCATTGTCTACATTGGTTAAGCTGCAGGGTAGGTAACTGGTGCATTTGGGTTGGGTTATGATGTAGTGATGAAACTTCTGAGGCCTTTTCTAGATAAGTGTTACCATTTATTCGTGGATAACTTTAATCTATACCTTGGTCAAATTGTTCAAAGATTTGTTTGCCCAGGGAGTCCTTGCCACTGGTACCATCTTGGAAACCAGGAGAGACTTTCCATGTAGTACACTCAAAAACAGTAAGTAATGGGCTATGAGAAATGAAAGGGGTAGCATGTGTTGGGAAAGGGATCCTCCTTGTTTGGCACTCCAGTGGATGGATAACAAAGTTTTTTCAACATTAACAGCTATCCCTCTCACTCCCAAGGGTGCCAATTTAGGAAAATGCCCCAGTTGCCCATGGGGTTCAGGTATCATGGTGATGTCTGAAAGGCAAATTTGAGGTGCCATATAACTTTAGCAAAATAGTGAGTGAACCAGGCAATTTCAGACTAAGCAATGCAAACAAACTTTATTCTTCAGAGATTGAAGTTTTCATTTATGATAAAAAACATCTCCAATATAAGAAAATAAGTCAACAAAACAAACCTCAAAATCATGCAACGTGCATTTTGAATCAATGAATGACAGTATATATGCTGTTTCTATGAGTAATTTCTCCATAAGAGGAGAGTAAAGCAATAATATACTCCGGAAATATTTACAGCAAAAATTATCAAGTTGAAAAAAACAGAAACGAAATGTACTGGTACGTCTTCCAAGTGTTTTTTTTTTTTTTAACCAAAGCAAGAGTGTTCATTGTTCGAGACGTTTGAATTTCATGCCACATTACGCTTCGGTGTTATGGTTCTTGAAGCAATCCAAACAGAACCTCTCGCCACATGAATCGCATCCCATCCTGCAGAAAGTTGTATTTCTTCTTTTTAAACATCTTTTGCACCTTCCCTTGGTCATTTTTACGGGCCAGTGTCCAGTATGAATGGTTCCTTCTTGAACGGCATGTTGTCGTGATGAGAACTTGCCGATCAGCATCTTGACCATTTCGATGCGAAACTGAAGTTGTGTAAAGGTTGGATGATTATCCGCAATTTTCATCAAAATGTGTGCATTTACAATGCTAACATCCAAGCAAAACCATAACAGATACCGCCACCATTTATTCGCCCTTCTCGAAGTACCGTAATATTGTCTCATTTGATCACTGTGATCGACTCTCCCCTTGTACTTTTTGTAGGTTTTTACTACGGGAAGAGAAGGAACTTTGAAGTACGTTCCATCCTTCTGTTTTCTGCCTACGCTTTCATTTCCATTTGGATTGCACTGAGTACTGAGAAAAGCCACGACTTTCTTGTCCTTCCACAAAGAAGCTACAACATCACCTTTCCGACGAAAGAGAGATTCGCCACGACAAAGCACTTTCACTGTGGGCTTGTTGGCTTTCAAGGCCGACGGAAAGTCAGTTCGGTTTGCACGTGTTTTTCCGCAAAAGTAAAGTTTGTCGGAGAGCAAATCTTCGGCCAGTCAAACTGAAGTGAAAAAATTATCGCAAAAGATGTGATGTTTTCCCTTCAGATCGCTGACAAGGTCACAAACAACACAATTTCTGAGACCGTGTTCAGGCTGGCCACCATCTTTTTTTCCTGTGTACACTTGCATGGCACCCATGAAGCCATTTGTCGCATTGGCACGGACCCATACTTTTATTCCACGCTTCACGGGCTTCATGGGCATATACTGTTTGAACCCAAGTCTTCCTTTATATTTCACCATTCCTTTATCGATTGAAACATATTTCAATGGCCGGTATTCTTCGCGGAAAGTGCTGGGAAGTCTATTCAACAAAGGACGCACCTTGAAAAGCTTATCGTAACGTGGGTTATTTCGCGGTAACATGTTCAAACGATTATTCAAACTGAGATATTGTCGAATCTTCTCGAAGCGATTCCTTGGCATGACTTTTTGAACGGTTGGGACACCAATAAAGTTGTCTCTAGACCAGTACATTCTTGTTTCCGGCAAGGACTTGATCCCAAACAAAATATTCAATGCAAAGAACGCTCGCATTTCTTCGCAGGTTGCTGCATACCACCTCGGGTCCGGCTTTGTTTGAATGCACTGTTCGGCATGACGATTGGTTTCCTCCACAATTTTCTCGAACAGATCCTCTGGCCAAAGAAGGAGAAAGAAATCCAAAGCTGTTCCATCTTCTGGAACACGCGAAGTTGGACCAGTGCATTCGACAAATTCTTCAACATGGACGGGCCAGTCATCTGTTGTCCAGCGTTGGTCGATATCCTCTTCGCTTTCGCTCTCACTACTGCTCCCGCTTTCGCTTTCCGAAACAGAAATATCTGATTCTTCGCTTATCTGCTGTCGTAAAGCTCTTGCTCTTTCTACTTCTTCAGTTTCAAAACCTCAAAATTCGTCTCCATCAGAGTTGGATGCCATAACAATACAAGGCTTTGGAAATTTCACTATCTTAGGTTTAATGGTCGATTATGAAAAATTTTACCATGGGAGTCCACCGTGATTTTTGTGTCAAATGAAACCTAATGACATCTCCTATTGGCTTAAAGACAAAGGAGGGCTTTTTCTCATTTATATCACATGTTAGGATTGGTTAATAGGGACGCATTTGCAAAGTGCCATATGGCACTCTTGGGAAAATGTGACAGTCACGCCAGAGTGCCATATGGCACTCTTGGGAGTGAAAGGCCTATAGAGAAGGCTAATGATTATGGTCTGGTCAACAGAAAACAAACGAGTCTGGTGTGTGGAACACTGAGGAAGTATCACAACCCAGAGGTATATTTAAGTACAATAAGTTTCTGAATGGGTTGACCAATTTGACCAAATTCTAACAAGAAATAGTGTACTGTGTAAGTCCAGGAAGTTGTGGAAAACTTTGTTTTACCATTTAATTGATATGGCTGTAGGAAATGGCTTTATCCTTTTCAAAGAGTATCAGGCTCAGTTTCTTGATAATGATGCTGTAAAAAGGCCCTCTAATTATTCTTTGACTGATTTTTGGGAAGAAATTGATCGGCAATGCAGTGATTTCCCTGATTACAGTAATCCACTGGTGAATACCACGGTGGAATCACATGTTAATAATTAAGTTAAACGTGTTTTTATCAAATAATCTTCCATAACCTATACCTATGAGGATAAGTGACTTTTACCACAAGTTTAACACCATTTCCTACTTATTTTATGTTTTAAAGTTATTTTTTTTGGGAAAGTCTTGGGTTTCAATGATTAGATTTGTTTTCCTGAAAAGCCCATTTTATATACTTTAAATGAGATATGGTGGGTGTTATTGCTGTAAATATTTGTTGAGATATTAATTAAAAGCTGAATGTGGAAATCATTGCATTTTTTTAGCTGTTCTGTTTGAGTTAACTGATGGAAACCATCAATTCTTGATAAACTTAGCAGAAAATTTGTTGCACAGAGGTTTTGATATTCAAAACAAGTAACAGGAATCAGGGTTAAAAGAAAGTTTAATTAACAAGGTGAAACTAATTATATTAATCATATTTCTCAATCTGTAGATCTTTTGTGACAGCTGGACCTCCGGCATTTGCCCCATCAAAAAGTAGAATTGTCAAAGTGACCTACTTAGAACTGTGACTAAATATATGAACTCCATATATTCATTGTAACTGTGACTTGTGTAAGGAAAAAGGAGGCACTGGGCCAGGAGAATGGAAATGGGTCATCTGTAAATACAAACCTAGGAATGCCATTACCAACAGCAGACTTCATAGAGAAATCTCCTTACAGCTGTATTGTATCAATGAAGCTACTTTATCCAAATGGTAAATGGCTCCATTGTACACTGTAACCTTGCTCTCCTTTCTTGTAGAAAAAGCCCTGATTAAGATTAAAATTTTCACATATGATGCACGATTAAAATTTTCATTCCTAGAGTTAACTCTTTACAAGTGTTAGTTTATTATGGCTATAAAGATTTGGTTAGGACGTTTAAGTGTGCACACAACTATAGATTTTTTTTAAAAAATTGATGTCTCTCTTTAGTAATCTTGCTTTATTACATGAACAGGTTCAAAAACAAAACAAGGTTGGAGGAAGTGAAAATGCTAAATACAAGGGCTCACAGTTCCTAATCTTCCAGTTATAATAAGTAGGGATGCACAGCTTCCTGTACAGCAACTGCCTTGCACTCCACCATGCCTGGTTCTTGAGGAGAATGTATGGAGGTGAGATTCCACTAATGTTTTCCTCCCCTGAGAAGCCTGTAGTTGAAGTCAGTGTCCCAATGAGTTGTAAGTGATGACTGAGTAATTGAACTATAGGAGGAAGATGATTCATTTTATTCCCCCTTTCCTAAATGCTTTTCAAAAAGTCCTGAGAACAATTTTTTTGGTGTTGCAGAAAGTTTCCACTTTTTAGGAGTTGTAAGTCATGATGCATTGTCCAGTTCTCTTTATATAATGTAACAAGTTTCAACCATTTGCTCCTCTTTTGGAGCGTAGTGATGTAAAACGTAAAAGGTAAGGAAAAACTGTGTAACCAGTCTTGTTACTACTACATCTGCAACATATTTGTCACTATCCAGTTCTGGACTTCTTTTAACATGGATTCTTGTTCTGCAAAGCTCTTATCCAAGCATCTTTGTTCAAAAATTGCTTTCCCTCAATAGCCAGACAAAACGTTTCCACTCCTTACTCTCCAACATATTTGTATAACTATGATCATTTACAATCAAACTAATCACAGGGGGGGGGGATGATGATTGTAACCATGCATATGTGTAGTAGGGTCAACATTTCTGACTAAATGTGTACACCCTAATTAAAAAACAATTACTCTCCAACATATTTATATAATTATGATCATTTACAATCAAACTAATCACAGGGGGGGATGATGATTGTAACCATGCATATGTGTAGTAGGGTCAACATTTTTGACTAAATGTGTACACCCTAATTAAAAAACAATTGTTCAGTTTATTTGTTTGTGGCAGATTTAACATTCACGTGTTAGAAGCACAGAGCGGGCCCCATTGCTATGGCAAAGCATCACTTTAATGGGGAAAATTTGGTAGATTTAAAATTTGTTAGTAGAGACTTAACACCAAGAGTACCCAACTTATTTCACCAAAGTCTGTTGAATTATTTAGTACCTAGGGAAAAGCCTTACTATTTGGTCATGAAAATATATAAAGATTGAAAAAAATTAAACAAGGTAGATAATATTAGGAAAATTTACTCTATCAGCATCCTTCTTTTTGGTTTTTCTTTTTGCCCAAGAGTGTATGTTTGCTGTTTTGGGTAGAACCAGCTACCAAAGTACTGTTTGTGCTTAGTGGCAGCATTCCTGACCTTCTGGCACTTGGAACACTTTCAGGGTTCCAAGCAAGCTCTGTCTATCTCTTTGGTGGAACCACTGAGGTCATTTGATCTTATTCTTTCCTCCTCCTGTAACTCAACACACTAGCAGGAATGACAGTAGAAAGGTTAAGAGGAAAGGGGCACTTCATCAGAAGGTGGCAACTGGTTGGATGGCAAAAAGTTTCTGCTTTTTAACAGTGGTTTTTTTTTAACACACTTTTGATTTGCCAGCCCTGTTGAGCAGCAAGTCAAAGCTGTGCTTCTCCTGGTCCACACCCCGGCCTAGTGAAGATGCAGTGCAGGTAATATCCATCTTGGATTGCTGTAAATGGGTTTGGGGAGAGTTATTCTCTGATTCAGGACTTCTTCCTCGTGCTTTTTTGAATACTTGTTTGCCTAAAACAACACAGTGCTGGTCAAGCCCTCATTTGATTAACTTAAAAGTAATGCTGGGTTTCAAAGTTATCTTTCTTTGTGGGCGTAATGATGTAAAACATCAAGTGACAAGTAATAACCAAGGATTGCTAATCATTACATTTGATTGACTGAAACCTAATAGACAGAGAAAATCTAAAATGTTTTTTTAAAATTTGATTGGCTTCAAACCATAACATCCTTGATTTAAAATTAGATGAAACTTACCACTGAATTAGTGTCCTGATTTATTTCCATATGCTTCCCATTATAGGAATGCTTTTCAGCTGGATTCTTGCCTGTTGCTTCACATGAGCACATTTGATGACAGCTTCCCTAATTTTTTTAATATTTAACACCAATGTCCATCACATTATGGTGTTCCCACTTTGCTTCATTGTTGGAGTCAGGCCAGGAAGCAGGTCCTTTTCTTTGTCTCAGGAAACACCTCTTGGTGCTTTCAACCCCAGGAACAACTGAGGACTTTTTGGTGCTCTTAATTTACCCAGGACCAGTTGAAGTTGATTTTGAGGTGGAAATGCAATGGGTCGTCTCTCATACTCACTCATTTGGTCCCGCAGCTTTTATTATTTTGGACACTTTCTGATATGAGAACTCAGAGCACCCAAATAATCCTTTAACCTGACCAGACCTGACCCTAACCACTTTGTCATAGCTGGGCATATTTTTTGGGCTAACTGCTGAGTCATCAGAAAGATACTGAAGGTTTGCAGAGATCCATGGAAGAGGCTGCTCCCCAGTATAAGCAACTGTTGGGTTGTCAGCTTCTTCTGTTTAAGGTTCTTGGTAAAAAAAATGTATATACATTAGGTTAGAAGTTCGCCTGTAGGGAAATTCAAATACCTAAAATACAGTGGAATCCTGTCAGCACAAGAATTAAATTCATAAAAAATAGAAAATAGACTGAAATACCTTGTATGAAATAAATATGTTTAAACTTTTATTATTTATCCGCATCCAAATAAATAAGTATTTATCTCATCTAAACTTAAACAATATAATTGTAGATTGAATTCATTAGGGAAAAAAATTAACTCACAAGGGATAAAGTGATGTACATGGATGTGAAGAGACTCTAAAGATGTAAAGCCTCTGGCACAGTGAAGTACTGGCAGCTGTATACCACCCTTGACTTTTGTCCCAGTCTGAGAATGTAGCTGTACAGTATCAGGGTTGCACAGTATGTTTCTGCTCAGATTCTTATATTCCTCAGATTTTGTCACTATCTAAAAGTGGCACACCCAGGGTGTCTTTGCCCTGAGGCCCAGAGCATGACCCAAGGAGATTTGAAAGCAACATGGTCATCACTTGAACACCTTGGGTTTTCTGGCAAACATGGGAAGACAGCTCAGCTCTTTCTTGGTAAGGCACCTGATGATGTCTTTTTCAGATGGATTGTGGATATTTAATTGTGTGGGCAGGCTCAGAAGCGTTTAAGCCCTTTAAAGCAGGTTGAGACCTTTGTTGCTCCATTCAAGCATGCATTGGGATAGGCGGGCCATAAACATTACATGGAGAGGATGTGACTCTGTGGTACAGCTAGCCTCCAGGCGACCCATGAAGTGCCACACATCCTAGCAGACAACTGCTTATCCCTTAGGGGGGGAAAGAGAACTTACAGTCCTCTTACCCCCACAGCAGTCTCTGTTGGTGGATAGGAGTACTGGTGGTGCAACATTAGCCCGTTTATTGCATTCCATGATTCCATTTCAGTGCTCGACCTTTACTTTTTGACTTGCTAGTCTGTAGGCTAGTCAGGTTTTAAAATTTACTAGCCAATAGTCGATAGCTGGTAGCTAAGCCTGGGTTGAACTTTTGCTCTTGCTGCACACTTGCTGAGCTCGACCAAAGGCAAGTGTAAGCATGAATTGACCACGTTCGTTATATCTATATTCTAGCATTGCTGATTTTGGCTCTGAGGCTTTCAAGACAAACTTGTACATTTGGTGATTGTTTCAAGTCTCATTTGTGAATTAAGAGCCAAAAGGAACTTGATATGTTTGCTATTTGTGGATTGCTACTGTGGCTACAGGGGAGGCTATTGAGGGGGGGGGTAGTATGTAGGTCATTAAATAAGAACAAGTGAATAAGACACTACAATATTATCTATTTGACATAGTTTATTGGTATAAATTAAGTACTTACAACTGTGAAAAAGTGTTCAATGCAGCTTAAATTGAACATGTAAAACCTAAATATCATTTGAAAATACAGGAATAATGGTAAAATTGGAATAAAGTTTAAGCTTGTTTTTTATACTCTTCTATGAGCTCTGTGGCTGCCTGCTTTCCATAATCTTTCTCATTCAGAACAAAACCTAGAAGGCAGTCAAAGGACAAATGTTCAAGTCAGTGCTCAAAGATTTAAAATTGTGGATTACCAACAACCCTATACAGTTGATTATTGTGTTAATGTGGAGTTCCATAATCTAAATTCTGACAAAAATTTCAACCAAGGAGAGTGCAGTAGTTTGTTTGACCATGCATACTGTACCTAGATTGCCAAAGATTGAGTCACCACTTAGAATGTCTTCCCCTTCCCTTACTAGAGACAATCAATCAAAATGATGAGACACAGTTCAAAGTGATAATGTAAGCTTAGTTAGCAAGAAAAATAATTCTGTGAAAGACTGTCACTTCATAAAAGAAATATCATCATGATGGCCTGGTTACTGCCAAAGAAGAAAATATATTAGTTTTCTCAAACACTTCTTACCTTTAATGACATTGATGATTGCTAGGTTAAGTTGCTGGTACCCTTTTGGTTCCTCCACCTTTCATATCTGAGATTTGTTTTGAAAAGGTATCCAAGAATGCTGTTAGCTCTCCTGCAGTCTTGGTGGAACTTAAGGCAGTGTTTCTGTGTCCAGCATACCAGAATATCCCAGATTCTGGATGAAGTTCAGTCATCTAGAAATACAACACGAAAATGATTGCTTTTGATTGCTTATGCATGGTATTGGAAGTAAGAATAATTGTTAAAATGTCTTTAAAACTGTTTCTACAACTTAAACATCATTGTAAAGGAAATCTTAATTTAATTTGAAGTAGAAAAAGCTTTTAAAATACATCAGTTAGGCAGTTGTGTGCCACAGTTCAAAACACTCAATAGTCAGAGGAACATTGCACTTTCCACAGTAAATACGGCCACGGCTTCCACAGCCACAAGCACAGTAACCTCTTTGTTCTCTTTTCTTAGGCCAATGTTCTGCCTTGTCAAACCTTGGTCCTGGGAGTCCAGAGGGCCTCCTAACTTTCTTTCTTCCTGTAAATTTTCCACACAGAGAGACCACAAGCTCATCTCTGAACACCTTCTGCTTTCTTGAGTTATGATCTCCCCTGAGAAAACACTCACAAATCCATGCATTGACAATTGCCATGTCCAACATCTGCATAAACACAGGCATCCACCATTTACTAGACTTCCTAGAACATTTGTAATATGACAGATGTTGATCATTTGTATCCACTCCTCCCATGTACTTGCGGTAGTCCACCACGACTGAGGGACACTGCTTGATAACACCTTCCACATGACCTTTCTCTTTTCTCCTGACATCTTCTACCCCTGGCTTTGCCATAGTAGACAGCACATATACATCCTTTGTATCCTTCCACTTCAGTGCAAAAAATCTTGGTTCTTTCATCATCCACTTACTCTCTCCAGTTTTGAGTCTGGCCATGTGAAGTTGATGAGGAAACCCCACCCGGTTTGGTCTGGTCGTCCCAGTACAAAAGATTCCTTGCTCAAGAAGTGAACTGGCTAATGACAAACTTGTATAAAAGTTATCAAAGTACAGCTTCCAGGGAATACCCCTTGGAAGAGAAGTACAAAGATCAAGGACAACTTTCTCTCCAAGATTTGCTCCTGGATTATCAGTTTTTCCAGTATAAATTTTGAAGTGGAGAAGGTAGGCCCTAACTGAATCCACTAACTTCCAAACCTTGATACCCCATTTGGTAGGTTTATCTTTCATGTACTGTTTGAACCCAATTCTTCCCTTGAATGGAATCATTCCCTCATCTACACTGTTTTGCTGGTGTGGTGTCCAGTTGTCCTGAAAATTTCTGTTGAGAATATTCAAAACGTTTCGAATCTTATGAATTTTGTCATGACCTGGCTGGCCAGCAGGGATGGCAGAGCCATTGTCAGCACAATGTAAATTATGGAGCAATTCCTCGTACCTTTTCCTCGGGAAAACATGTTTTATGCCATCAACTGAAAGAACTGTACTGTTTGACCAGTAATCATAAAGATCAGGTACTTGTTTCAAGCCCATCCAAATTGTTACTCCCAGAAATGCTCTTATTTCCTCAGCAGAAGTGTCAACCCAATTGACAGCTTCTTTCACACGTGCATATCGGTTGGTTTCTGTAACCAAAACTTCTATCAAATCCGGTGTAAAAAAGCGATTAAATATATCTCCAGCATTTTGTTCATCGCCAACAACGAAGGTTGGGCCAGGATGTTTTCGAAAAGGAGGGAGGTCTTCCACTTCAAGTTCTTCATCTGACCACAACACAGCTCCGCTTTCATCATGTTCAACCAGTCGATCGATCAACTCTTGTTTTCTGCCTGTTTTTGAAAGATTTCTTCGACCCAACTCTTCTTTGAGTCGCTGAAGTGTCCACTCGTGATAGTTTGATTCTTCTTCCTCATCCGTTTCCTCATTTTCAGGCTGCAGAAGTTCATCAAGCACATTTTCTTCATCACTTTCGTCACTATAGTAAACAGACGCCATTTTGATTCCGGATAGTTGAGGGTAACCTGTGAACTAGTTTCCCCAGTCTCCTGCGTTCATTTCGTGACACAAGAGCTCTTGCAAGCCAAAATTTCGGAAAATTTTTAGGTCAATATAACTGTGTTTAATCTCAGTGCTGAAAAACCCTACAGGGGTATATTTCTTTAAAACCGTTTTTTTAAATATCTACCTCTTGGCTGCCAACAGTGAAAATTTCAAACAAAAATCTTAAAAACTGATTTTTTTACAATTTTTTGAAAATTCCTTGTAAAATGTCTCAAAAAAAACTTGGTGGTTTTAGGGTTAATTTCCTTTCTCATTCTTTTAAATTAAAACAATATCATATAGTAAAACATGGTCAGTGTCGAAATTCCGATAGCTCAGAATTAAACTCATCACCAATAGATGAGCTTGGGGAAGGTGCCTTGGTTTAGGTGGAGCCATGCTTGATGCCAGCCAGGCTTGCAGGTATCCATGGCAACCACCTGGCACTGTCACACTGATAAATCAGTGGAAATACTTATCAACCAACAGACCCAGAAGATACCGGTCCGAGGGATGCAGTGCAATGTTGTGATAGGTGGCCTCGACGTCAAACTTTGCCATCAGAGCCCCACGACCAAACTTGGAGACCATAGAAAGAATCTGGTCAACCGTAATGTATTGCAAGGAAAAGCCTGGGCCCATGAGAAACGGCTGATCTGCAAGAAAAGGAAGAGCAATGCTTGCGCTACACGCAACGCCTTGGGACGTCCCAATGGCGAGACTGCTTGACGTGAGGGCTGGTGACGAAGCAGTTGACATTAAAGGCGAAGAAAATGTCGAAACGAAAGAAGGAACTACAAAAAGAAGTGGCCTACCTTGTGTAGCTGCGGTACTCGATTGGAACCCTGTGCCAGAGTCCAAAAACAAAGAAGTCAAGCTGCTCAAGGGAGCGGGAACGCCCCCAGAAGCGGCGGGTAGAGCTGGGGAGGCTGAAACAATAGCACTAGATGGCACTGGTTGAGCTGGCGAAGCAGCAAAATGAGACTGAATCGCAGCCTGAACTTCTTGGGAAACGAAAGCAGCAAGTTCCGGTAAAAAAGGCACTGTTGAACCAGAAGAAGGTCCGTTTGAAGTGGACATGCTCAGTGCTGAAACGTGGCTTGCAGAAGAAGACATATTGCAGGGTTTTCCTTTTCAAATAAAGTTTAAGTCGATAAAAGTAAAGCAGGCGGAGACAATTTGGGCGCGTAGCGCTCAACATGAGCGCCGAAGGCGCGAACTTCTAGGGGGGTCCGGGGGCATGCCCCCCCCCCCGGAAAATTTTGAAAAACTAAGTGCTCTGAGACGCAATCTGGTGCATTTTGGTTGCCCAAATGAAGCAGATGAACAGGCTTCACAAACACAAGAAATGACAACGTATTTAATAAAATGCAGCCCTTTTCTGTTACATCATATGAAATTTTGCAACAAAAATACGAATATGACCTATTTGATTCATCAATCACATAAATCTTTTGAGATATTTTAGCTAATAATTATCTAATAAAGCAGTCAGATAATTCAAGGCGAGAGTGGGGCATGGCTAAAACTCATCCTCAGAAACAGAGTCAAGGCCTGAATCTTCGTCTGATATGTTTTGTTCTGTGCAGTCTTCACCAGCCAAACCTAAGCTCTCTGCGACTATCATCTCTGCTTCTTGTTCTTTACTCTGTTCTTCTTCCTCCGCCTCCTTATTCAAGTCAATTACTATGTCAGTTTGGGTTGCAGCAGAGAAAAAGGCAGCACGTGGTAGTTCCGCATTCTCCTTTGGGGGTTGTCGTGGCTGGTTCACTCGTTTCAATTTGTACCTTGATTTGTCATTCAGCCAATGCTGTGAAGAAAGATAGCATATCTAAATGGAAGACGCTACATCAACAGCTAAAGGGAAAGTGACAATTTAATGAGCCTGTACCTTTGTAGCATCTTGAATTATGCTGTCTGCGTCAGCCAAGGTTGGTCCATTAATGGAAACTTGTAGGAGAACATTCAACATGTCATCCTTAAGCAAGCTTCGTAGCCTAAAATAAGGAAATTTCATATAGGTGTCAGGAGAAATAAAGCAAAATATAATTTTATTTTATTCTACTGATAATAACAATGCTACGGCATATTACCTTGTCTTAATTCGCTTTACAGCAGAAGCCCCCCTCTCTGGCCAAGCATTTGTGACAGGGGCTGAGTAGCAAATCTCTGCGACTTCAGACAGCAGTGGGTACTGTTTCTGAGACTGGCATAGCTGCCTCAAAGAAAACTCCATGTCCTGAGTGAGAAAACGGGAAAATGGTAGTCATTATCAATACAGTAACACGAAAGTTATACGAACATTAATACATTCTGACCACTCCTTTTAGGGCTGTGTACACTGCAAATGTTATTATCTTTCTCGTGGTTTTCAAGTTCATAAATGACCTACCCCCTGAAAGTCAATGAGATCAAATTTGAAACGATGCCATTCTGCCATGAACTGGTCCACATCATTACTGAAAAAGTGTTTGGCCAACAACATCACATCTGCCTCCCCATAGCTTTTGAAGTCCGGATGTTCCTTTCTAGATTAATACCGATAATAATAAAAGCTTCATTAGTACTGCAAACTAGCTGAGNAAGGAGGGAGGTCTTCCACTTCAAGTTCTTCATCTGACCACAACACAGCTCCGCTTTCATCATGTTCAACCAGTCGATCGATCAACTCTTGTTTTCTGCCTGTTTTTGAAAGATTTCTTCGACCCAACTCTTCTTTGAGTCGCTGAAGTGTCCACTCGTGATAGTTTGATTCTTCTTCCTCATCCGTTTCCTCATTTTCAGGCTGCAGAAGTTCATCAAGCACATTTTCTTCATCACTTTCGTCACTATAGTAAACAGACGCCATTTTGATTCCGGATAGTTGAGGGTAACCTGTGAACTAGTTTCCCCAGTCTCCTGCGTTCATTTCGTGACACAAGAGCTCTTGCAAGCCAAAATTTCGGAAAATTTTTAGGTCAATATAACTGTGTTTAATCTCAGTGCTGAAAAACCCTACAGGGGTATATTTCTTTAAAACCGTTTTTTTAAATATCTACCTCTTGGCTGCCAACAGTGAAAATTTCAAACAAAAATCTTAAAAACTGATTTTTTTACAATTTTTTGAAAATTCCTTGTAAAATGTCTCAAAAAAAACTTGGTGGTTTTAGGGTTAATTTCCTTTCTCATTCTTTTAAATTAAAACAATATCATATAGTAAAACATGGTCAGTGTCGAAATTCCGATAGCTCAGAATTAAACTCATCACCAATAGATGAGCTTGGGGAAGGTGCCTTGGTTTAGGTGGAGCCATGCTTGATGCCAGCCAGGCTTGCAGGTATCCATGGCAACCACCTGGCACTGTCACACTGATAAATCAGTGGAAATACTTATCAACCAACAGACCCAGAAGATACCGGTCCGAGGGATGCAGTGCAATGTTGTGATAGGTGGCCTCGACGTCAAACTTTGCCATCAGAGCCCCACGACCAAACTTGGAGACCATAGAAAGAATCTGGTCAACCGTAATGTATTGCAAGGAAAAGCCTGGGCCCATGAGAAACGGCTGATCTGCAAGAAAAGGAAGAGCAATGCTTGCGCTACACGCAACGCCTTGGGACGTCCCAATGGCGAGACTGCTTGACGTGAGGGCTGGTGACGAAGCAGTTGACATTAAAGGCGAAGAAAATGTCGAAACGAAAGAAGGAACTACAAAAAGAAGTGGCCTACCTTGTGTAGCTGCGGTACTCGATTGGAACCCTGTGCCAGAGTCCAAAAACAAAGAAGTCAAGCTGCTCAAGGGAGCGGGAACGCCCCCAGAAGCGGCGGGTAGAGCTGGGGAGGCTGAAACAATAGCACTAGATGGCACTGGTTGAGCTGGCGAAGCAGCAAAATGAGACTGAATCGCAGCCTGAACTTCTTGGGAAACGAAAGCAGCAAGTTCCGGTAAAAAAGGCACTGTTGAACCAGAAGAAGGTCCGTTTGAAGTGGACATGCTCAGTGCTGAAACGTGGCTTGCAGAAGAAGACATATTGCAGGGTTTTCCTTTTCAAATAAAGTTTAAGTCGATAAAAGTAAAGCAGGCGGAGACAATTTGGGCGCGTAGCGCTCAACATGAGCGCCGAAGGCGCGAACTTCTAGGGGGGTCCGGGGGCATGCCCCCCCCGGAAAATTTTGAAAAATTAAGTGCTCTGAGACGCAATCTGGTGCATTTTGGTTGCCCAAATGAAGCAGATGAACAGGCTTCACAAACACAAGAAATGACAACGTATTTAATAAAATGCAGCCCTTTTCTGTTACATCATATGAAATTTTGCAACAAAAATACGAATATGACCTATTTGATTCATCAATCACATAAATCTTTTGAGATATTTTAGCTAATAATTATCTAATAAAGCAGTCAGATAATTCAAGGCGAGAGTGGGGCATGGCTAAAACTCATCCTCAGAAACAGAGTCAAGGCCTGAATCTTCGTCTGATATGTTTTGTTCTGTGCAGTCTTCACCAGCCAAACCTAAGCTCTCTGCGACTATCATCTCTGCTTCTTGTTCTTTACTCTGTTCTTCTTCCTCCGCCTCCTTATTCAAGTCAATTACTATGTCAGTTTGGGTTGCAGCAGAGAAAAAGGCAGCACGTGGTAGTTCCGCATTCTCCTTTGGGGGTTGTCGTGGCTGGTTCACTCGTTTCAATTTGTACCTTGATTTGTCATTCAGCCAATGCTGTGAAGAAAGATAGCATATCTAAATGGAAGACGCTACATCAACAGCTAAAGGGAAAGTGACAATTTAATGAGCCTGTACCTTTGTAGCATCTTGAATTATGCTGTCTGCGTCAGCCAAGGTTGGTCCATTAATGGAAACTTGTAGGAGAACATTCAACATGTCATCCTTAAGCAAGCTTCGTAGCCTAAAATAAGGAAATTTCATATAGGTGTCAGGAGAAATAAAGCAAAATATAATTTTATTTTATTCTACTGATAATAACAATGCTACGGCATATTACCTTGTCTTAATTCGCTTTACAGCAGAAGCCCCCCTCTCTGGCCAAGCATTTGTGACAGGGGCTGAGTAGCAAATCTCTGCGACTTCAGACAGCAGTGGGTACTGTTTCTGAGACTGGCATAGCTGCCTCAAAGAAAACTCCATGTCCTGAGTGAGAAAACGGGAAAATGGTAGTCATTATCAATACAGTAACACGAAAGTTATACGAACATTAATACATTCTGACCACTCCTTTTAGGGCTGTGTACACTGCAAATGTTATTATCTTTCTCGTGGTTTTCAAGTTCATAAATGACCTACCCCCTGAAAGTCAATGAGATCAAATTTGAAACGATGCCATTCTGCCATGAACTGGTCCACATCATTACTGAAAAAGTGTTTGGCCAACAACATCACATCTGCCTCCCCATAGCTTTTGAAGTCCGGATGTTCCTTTCTAGATTAATACCGATAATAATAAAAGCTTCATTAGTACTGCAAACTAGCTGAGCTGATTTTCAAAGGTTAAAATTGCATTTGCATATTACTAAACTAAGTGTAACTTCATGAATTGTAACGGAAATAACCCTCTCACTTAATAGATAAAAATACATACCTAGGTATAAGCCCTGGATGGAAAACTTTAAAGGCAGAGAAGATGTCTTGACATTTGGAGAACCGCTTGTCGATGTTCTGAATCAAACTTGTCACATATTTAACTTTCAGGTTGGCCAATCTTCGCTCATCTGATTGTGTAAGCTCAATGTTAGTAGCAGACAGGGGACCATTCCTAAGATCAGCCGTGAGGTTTTTGATGAACTCTGTTTTCTTTGCTTCCTCTAGTAGCTGATTCAGTTGGGCCTTTGCGTAGCCAATGCTGCCTTTAATGTGGGCATATGACAATTCGCCTTTCTGAAAGGTCTTGCTGAGGGTACTAAGAATGGGAAGCACCTCACCAAGCAGATATAGGGTTCCTAGGAAGTAGCCTGAGTACATCTTTTTGTACAGTCCTCCAGCTGTTGCACTTTCGGATTCCAGCTCCTTTAGAGCCAAGAGGAGGGGGTAGATGCACTTCTTGACAGATTTCACTGATGCCTCAAAGCTAAGCCAGCGGGTCTTGCATGCTTTCTGGAGCTTTGTTGCCACGGCCTTTTTCCCTTTTGCACTTAGTTGTACGGTGTTGACGTTGGCTTGTATCTTGATGAAAGTCGCCATTTTCTTGGGCGAGTTTTCAAGAAGCTGCCAGACCTGCCTAAGGCAGTTGTGAACGTTGTCGATGTATTTCACATCGTCTTCTTTACTGGTATCAACAGTTGCCAAAGCTAGTCTATGACAGACGCAATGAAAGGTGAGAATTGCAGGGAAATCTCTGCGAAGAAGTCCAGCCAAGCCATTTTGTTCTCCTGTCATTACTGATGCACCATCAGTACAGACTGAGGCAAACTTTCTGGTGTCTAGGGATTTATTTTCCAAACCTTGAAGCACAGCTGCCTTTATGGTCGGAGAATTCGCACTAGAGCTTTCGCCACTCAAAAGGTTAGTTGTAAAAAGGAACTTGGTGTGTTTAGAGGCTTTCTTATCTACATACTGGATGAAGCAGATCATCTGCTCTTGAACAGCAATATCTGTAAGGTCGTCTATGAGCAGTCCAAAACATCTGGCGGCCTGAGCATCTGGCAAAAAGGAGTTACAAACCGCATCTCCCAATGCTAGCATCATTTCTTTTTGCACTCGTTGACTTCTGTGTTGGAAGTACTTGATCTCTTCACCCCCTTGCAACGCTACAAGCTCATTTAGATGGGCTGCTTTCCTATTCGATATCTCCTCTTTCATCAGGAAATATAGATTACGCATGACGCATTCAATTGTTTTTGCCTCCGCAGCTTTTCTGTTGCTGACTTCTCTCTGGAAAATACTTCCCCTCTGTGTGTGTTCAAGTTGGATAACTTCATTGTGTGTTCTACTGTTGAGATGCCCCACCAATGCCGAGGACTTGAACCTCACTGAGGGCTCTGCAGAGAATTTCTCTTGCTTATTTTGTGTAGAGTGGACATTGTGCTTCTTGCACAGGATACAATACACCCCTTCACCTTCTACAAACACAGGCCACCAGTATCCGCTTGCTGCACAGTAGGCAATGTCAGCTTTGCATAGCCATGCGTGATTAAACAGCTTTTCTTTCTTCTTGCCCTTGTTTGCTTCTAGCTGCCTGGAAATCTCTTCTCTACTGAAGGTACAACCCGCATCACAGATATCGTGGTGATGAATTCTTGATTTCTCTCCAGGAAAAAGGTCTTCCAACATCTCTTGTGTAGGCATTTTAGATTGATTATCCAATGGTTTTTTGCTTACGTTTGTTACAGGCACAGCAGATGGACTTTTTTCTACTGAGGGAACTTTTTCCACATTATCTGCTGATGTGTAAGGCAACGGAGCACATCTATCATTAGAGTCAGCTTGTGGTGCATCAGACTGTGTGAGATCTGCAGATGTGGATGCATCTGATGAAAGAAAGTTACTGTTATGTTAAGATAATGAAAAGTGTAATTGTATTTATACAGTAAATAAGTGTTGTCAAAATGTTTTCTTGCCTGACACCCGTTGTTTTTTGGTGAAAAATGTCTGAATCCCGGCCTGTTTGGAACATTGTCTCTTTTGGCTCATGTTCGAGAACTACACTGTGATGTTGCACTGCAAAAGTAATGCATAATAATAATAATGATATCTTTACTTATATAAGAAGTCAAGGATATAATTTATCAACACCTCCAATAGGCATCGTTTTTTCTTTACAACCAAAGAGAGTCTGGAAGTTTGCTTGCAGCCTCAAAACAGACTGGGCACGACTGGTTCCAAATATGGCACGTTGATTATGCAATCGAGCACATGGCGACAAACAGCGACAAACAGCAACAAACAAAGTGGTTGTATCTTCGCCCGTTCATCCCTCAGGCAATACCGGGCACGTTACTAATAAATAGTAATGTAAAACAACACTCGAATCGATCTGGAAGAATTTCACATCAAGATATTAACACAAGAATCAAACAGATCAAAGGTGAACAAAAACACGAACATCACAAAAATATTTCGCAATTTTATCCCGCACGATCGGCTTATCACTTTACTTCGGTTTATAGCTTGACCCGAGATAATATTTTTTATGCTTTCGCTTGGTGAGAATAAGTAGTTCCTAGTTAAAGTATATCTGTTTAAACTAAAACAGTGAGAAGCCGAGAAGTCAAGAAGATAATTGACCTTTCAAATAGTGATTAATTATTGTCTGCGTTAAATTTATTTTGCTTCGAATTCACGAAAGCTAAATGAAGCGTATTTGAAATGAAAAGGCGACACACCTCATAAACAAAGGACCATTTTGGTTTAATAAATTGCGATGAAAGCGCTACATTTCATTAAGTGATGAATATTTATGAGAAATGCAGAAATAAAACAATTTACGTACCTTGAAGGGATGCCAGTGATGCGTGACTTGACAACGCAAACTTGCATTAATGAACGTCACGTACCAGTACACGCGTAAAAATTCCTCTTCGTTTTCGCGAGTTTCTTCGGAGGAAATATGTACTCCTCATCGATTTCCGTTTCTTGCACGTCATTGTCAGACAACATACAAAGCGTTTATTCTTTATCTAAAATATTTTAAATTATTTACCAGCAAGGATGCTTTTAGTTGCCGGCGACGGAGCCGTTCGCAGGCGGCGAAAATCGCCGGTCGCCGGCCGAAAAGGAAAACCCTGTATTGCCTGGTGGAGCAGAGATTGATGTGGCTACGGATGAGGAAATTCCGAACAAAGCTACTTCTTGACTAGTATTCGTTTGGCGTGAAGTCATGACTTCGGAAGAGAAGCAAAAAGGCACTGAACTATGGCAAGCAAAAGTGAACTAGAACGTAGCTGGAACACAATACAAATGCCCCTGCAACAAACCCAGTAAATGTGAACCCCCTGTGCATGGCTGCCCACGGACCACTGCTGACTGCATTGGCTCAAGTTTAACTTTGCCTAAATTACATTCAGCCACATAAATATTGTTGAGCTTTATATATGCTGCAGACATCAACATGATTGACAGTGTTTGCTGTTTGATATGTGTTCGATCTGTATTATGGTTTGTTAACTTCTAAGTTCTTACTTTCTTTGTGTGACAAAACATCTGCATTATTCTTACCTTGTACTTCTGTGCCTTGTGAGAGGTAAATACTCAGATTAGCATGTTCCTCTCACTCAGGAAGGCGCACATTCTTCTTTGTTGGAATCTTGGTGTGAAAAGGGGTTTCCTTTACTGAGGCACAGTCTACCCACAAAGAGAGAAATACCTTTGTTATGCTAAAATCAATGCATTCATACATAGTTAAGTAAAGTTAAGTTTATGGGAGGTTGTTGAAAAGTGTATAAAAAAAGAAAAAAAGAGAAAGAGAGAGAAGAAAAAGAATTAAGAAAATCCAACAAACTATCCCTCTGCTTTACTAAGCGCTCGGGACCTTCTAGCAATTAAGCTAGGCAGCATTAAAAGTTTGAAGATATGCATTTATGATGGCATTTTCTCCATCAAGGTAATAATTACCCAAACCTCAGGAGCTAACTGCTAACTGAGGGAGCCAGGCACTAGCATTGTTCAATCAAGCTTGAACTGAAAAAAAAATTAAAAAAAAAAAAAATTAATTAGTTAATCTGTCTTCTTTTTATACCCTCTGTTGTTTTTAAGGTCTTCCATCCATGTCTTAAATTTTTCAGTCATTGTGTTACAATACCAATTTCCAAATTACTGTTTATGACTTTCAGGGTCTCTCTTTTATCCACTCATGGGGCAAACCATGTTATACAAGGATCACTCACAGCTGCTGCTCTCTCTTTTCCAAGGAGGTCCTTGTCTCATCTTTTTGTTTTGGGTTTTGTTGGTGGTTGAGAATGAGACTTGTTGCCTGGACTGATTGTGTTGTTGAGGCTGATGGTGGTGTGTACTTTTGACTGTATTGGAGCAGGGTGAAGTCTTCTTACTAATGTTGGTAGCTGTACAAAAAAAAAAACAGAAGCTGGAAGGATTGGCGTCAGTTGGGAAGCTTATGAAGAGAGAACCTCTGAGAAGCTTATGAAGAGAGATCTCTGAGAACAGCTGTTCTTGTGGTATTGGTTGGTAATATAAATTTGAAGGGCACAGGATAGTTGACTTGTGGCAGAGACGGAAGCAGTGGTATGGCTGGTTTGTCGCTTGATATACCACTGACTTAGTGTTGCTTGGTTTATTTCTGGCAGCTGAATCTGTCTCATCACCATGCCATAGTTCATAACACATTCTTGTATGCCTCGGTAGTCTTTACACGCAAAAGACCAAGGGTTAGATGTTTTTGTCCTTGATCTGTTTGGCTCAGGATGTAGATTACACAGTTCAGATATAACAACCTCAGTGTACCTGTCACGATCTGGCCATTGGGCTGGTACACTGTAGGAGGCTAGAAAACATCTTAAGAAAGAGAAACAAATTCTATGAAAAAGGGTTTTTTTGTAATATTAACAACATAAAAGATAAAGTAGCTCACTTCCTAGTACCATCTGGTACAACATTGGTACTTCTTTTTGTAGCTCTAAACTTTCCCATAACCAGTGTAGTGCAGTGTCGAGGAGTAAATGTTGTCGGCTGTTGGTCATATTCATGAAAGCTTTTCCACAATCTAATGATTTCATTGGGTTGGTTATTGGACAAGGCCATATTTTCTTCTCTGAAATAAACCAGATGTGCTGCTAAAACCTGGACTTCTTCATATCCCTGAATGTTGTCAGACCCAGCAGAGTCTTAAAGACCAAAAAATGGAATTACTGGTGGTTAAGATTTTACTTCCTGAAAACTTACTTCTGTATCACATGATAGATCTTTTCCCACAGGCTCAGCAGAGTCTTTATCAGAAGTACTGGTTGCATCTGTGTCTAAATGAAAATTCACATTTTTAGTTAAAGATTCAGGAAAGGTAGATTTTTGGGAAAATATGTACCTACCTATGTCAATGCCCAAAGGCATGGTAAACACCTGCTCTGCAAGTGCAATTGTCTCATGTTCATCTTCATCAAATCCTTCATCTATTTGGTGTGGGTTGATATCTGAAAGAGCTTCTTGCCCCTGTGGTCTCCGATCTTCATCTTCACCTTCAAGGGTATTGTCCCTGAGAATCTCACCAGTTTGATTGATAGATAGATATGTTAAATCAACACTTTTGCAGGCAAGCTGAATTTCAGTGTGGGTCAGAAAATTACACCCACAATAGAAGAAATAATATGAATAGCACTAATAATATTACAGCAATTTCTCATGTATGAATAATATAAATAGTCCTTAATGGATAATCTTTCTACATTGCACAACAACAATGGCTCATCAGAGGGCCTCCCACGTTTCCTTCGAGAGGAAAAGTCACCAATTAGTTGCTTTGCTAAGTCAATGCGAAAGGATTTCAGGTTTCTCTTTCCATGATTGGGTGACTCCTGTTCCAAAATAAAACTATTGAAAATACTCCTGTCAATAAGATCAAACAAAATTCTAATCCACCATTTCTTTCCAGATACAGGAATGGTGTAGTAGGATTTCATCTGATCATTCTTGTCTACACCACCCATGTATGTGTTGTAGGACGAGATAAGCTGGGGACAGGTAATTCGTTGAATTGTTCCATCTCTTTGTTTCCGGTTGACCTCTGGAAGGTTCTCTTGAGGTGCTTGTGTGTAAGTGCCTGCTGCATGCACTGCCTTCTTATCCATCCAGGTAATTGCAAGTACTGGACCTTTCATTTGCCAAAATACATCACCTCTCTTCATTGACTTTATGCGATCCTTGTCAAAGAGACATCGGGGAAATTCCTTACGCCCTGACCGCAAAGTCCCACAACACAGTGTTTTATTCTGATACAAATCTTCAATCAATCTGTACGAGGTAAAAAAGTTGTCACAAAAAATGGCATACCAGTGACCTTTTATGGTTTCACATAACTTAGTGACAACTGAGTAACCTAGTCCATGTTGAACTCCTTGTTGTGTCTTCCCAGTGTAGATATCAAAGTCACACAAATATCCATTAGTGCTATCTGCCCTACACCACATTTTGATGCCACGTTTGATGGGCTTCATGGGCATGTATTGCTTGAGGGAAGTGCGACCTTTATATTTTATCATAGCTTCATCCACAGCTTGCTCACGGTGAGGGGCATAGTTTATTTGAAAATTTGTTTTCAAATCCTCAATAAATTCCCTAACTTTGAAGAGCTTGTCGAAGTTACTGTCTCCAGGCCTTGGCATTTTTGTGTTGTCACACAGATGAATATTGTTCCAAATGTCCAAAAATCTGTTTCGAGGCATGACCTTTGAGAATGCTGGAACACCCAAAACCCAGTCCGAAGACCAATAGTCCCGTAAACAAGGTAGTCTGTGGATACTCATTCCTATGAGAAGTCCAAAAAATGCCTTCAGCTCTTCCATAGACACTTGCTTCCAAGTGGAAGGATCTTTACCCTTAGATTGCAAAGTCTGGGAGGCATAGCGATTTGTTTCCCTCAATATATTTTGAAGGATCCGATTACTCACAAAAAGAAGAAAGAAATCAAGAGCCAAAGCGCCTACTGGTAAGATGGTATTTGGCCCTACTGCTTTTGAAAACCCAGGAATGTTTATTTCAGACCTGTCATCAGACCAACTAAATTCTTCCACACTTACATTGCTAGGTCTCCCTCTTACCACCTCCTCATCGAAATCGTCGGCTTCTTCAATTTGAACAGTTCGAAGATCTATTTCCTCTTCCTCCTCGTCGGGTAGAGCGACTGAGTCCGCAGGCAAAATAAGATCAGGCTCCTCAAAATCCTCATCATCGAGCCATTCAACGTCTGAATTAACTCCTTCGTCGGGAATATCGAAGTCACCATCCAAATGTAAAAGCACTTCTTCTACTGTATAGCTTCTACTATTCACAGACATATTTACACAGCCCTTCAATTTTCCCGGGAAATTTTCGTGCCAAAGGGACTCGAAAAAACTTGAAAAAATTCGGTGAAAACGCGTCCAATTCAAAACAAACTATAAAAATCCAAGATGGCGATTGTTTTTATTTGACAGAGGCTTGGAAACTAATAGTAGAGAGTCTGCTGATCAAATTTATGCAAGGTTCGGCATCATGGCAGATATATCTGCCATTGGGTCACAAAGGGTTAAGGGTCGAAATATTGTTTATTGGGTAGAGGACCTTCATACTCTTATTCGCCAGGGTGTTGAAGAGATGCGGAAAAAACCCTTTCCGCAGTTCTGTGATACCAAACATTTTTGGGAAGGCTGAGAGAGGCATAGGGAAAAAACAAAGAATCTTTTAATGTAATTCTCCCTGTGGTTAAGGACATAATTTTAGTGCCCTGCACAATTTCATTTTCAACGGCCCTCTTCTCGCGAATGATTTGCTGCATGATAAACATGGAATCGTATCCTTTCAAATTATGGAAAAACAATTACATGACATTCCTCATGCTCTTCATTAAATGTTTGTTCATCCAAATATTCCAGAAATCTTTCGCTACAATCGCCACCATAAAATGATTCAATTTCATCTTCATCATCTCTCTGACAACGTACTAGAATGGGGTTATGCTGTTTAGTCCCCTCCTCAAGATAAGTCTCATAGTCTGCGAAAATTTTAAGAGTTGGAGGTTTCTTAGAATGTCTCTCTTCATCGGGTGTTTGCTCAGCAGCGTAGCGTAAATTTCTCCTTCGAAAAATCTGGAGTTCCGCAGGCCCGCACTCATCATCTTTAGGGTCCACTTTAGGTATGAAACATTTGTGTCGCAGGAGATCAATGTCGAGTCCGCAGCCATAACATTGTGCCACATGACATTGATGCGGTATAACCCTCTTGGTTCTCTTACAAATTCTCAACTCTCTCTTTCGCACAACTTTAAAACGGATAGGGCAGATTTGTTCCTCGTCACAAACACCATTCTGTTTATGTTTTTCAAAACACGAGGGACCGAAAAAAAGACGATGGCAGACTCCACATTTCACTTCTGCTTCTTTATCTTCAGCAAAATCACAACAGTTTGATTTGAATTCCTTACATCCGTGACACCGCATACCGGGGCAGGGGTGATTGTGAGAAGTCTCCTGATGTTAAGCCTTCTCACAATGAAAACAAAAATAGGATTCACCCACAAAAGTAGGGAGGCTTCAAGAACCATCAAAATGATCCTCCCATTGTGCCAAAACTATTTTCAAAGGAGCGTCAGGTCCTTTAAAAGTTATACAGAGAGGATATTCAGCTTTGAAAACGGCGATTTGAAAATCGGGCGATAAGACATTTTGAAATTTTCTCAATTCCGCTTCACCACACGATCCTTCGGGAACTTGAGCTTGACTGTGTAGTTCACGAGCTTGCGTCTCTTGAATCCCCCTCCCTCTCTTCAAATTTTCATACTCTGCTTTATGCATTCCAGTTTGATCTTTAAAATGTCTAGCTCTCATCGTGACAATAGCTCTAGCACAACAAAGGTCATCATTGTTACGAATTTTCACAATGCAAGTCTTTGATGTGAACTGTTCATAAGTAAAACCCTTGAGTAGCTTATTCCTACCTCTACCCAATTGTGGTCTTCGGATGTAGGTAAAATCCACATCCATAGCATGTCCTTGTTCCAAAGCTTCATTAGAATTTAATTTTTCAGCTAGCGCGTCCAAATAGGCGGCCAGACGGGGGCTGTTATTCAATATCTCTACGACTGTAAATGTCGCAGATTGAAACGCATGAGGTAATCTAACCGATTGCAAATTGAAATGGACTTGATCTCGATTTTGAATTAACTCCCCCTCTCCAATATCGGATAGAGTGTCTATGATAGAACGACGTAGAGCATCCACCAACTGCTGTCCTAAATCATCCTCAGCTCTCACTTTCCTATTTTGCTGTAAAATGGCACGGTAGTGTTGCCGGTTGACAACGTTTCTCCAGTTTCTCGGGAAGCCCGTTTGATTAAAATTAAGGGTGTATAGAGCATCATTTCTAAGTAAAAACTCTTCACGTATACTCATACTTACTTTATAGAGTAACAGCTCCAATACAAAATGTGAAAACACAGTTCACGTTCGTCTGGTTTTATACTTCACATCTCGTATAAATTACAACGAGTGGGAAAATTACAATTCAAGCGGTAAAATTACAATAAGCGGAAAAAATGACAAGGTGAACAAACATCATCACATGTTTCCTTTGTAATAATCAACATTGTCTTTCACTCCTTTGGCTGCTTGTTTTGCAAAAAGTCTACCTACTGAAAGATTTCTGGAATATTTGGATGAACAAATATTTAATGAAGAGCATGAGGAATGTCATGTAATTGTTTTTCCATAATTTGAAAGGATACGATTCCATGTTTATCATGCAGCAAATCATTCGCGAGAAGAGGGCCGTTGAAAATGAAATTGTGCAGGGCACTAAAATTATGTGCTTTATAATATTTTATCGCAGTTTTTCATTGTCAAAAATTACAATAAGCGGAAAAAATGACAAGGTGAACAAACATCACATGTTTCCTTTGTAATAATCAACCTTGTCTTTCACTCCTTTGGCTGCTTGTTTTGCAAAAAGTCTACCCACTGTACCCCAACCAGGAGCTGGTCCACTCAAAAACATGCTAGCTCCATAGGCTATCTTGTCTGTCAGGTTGGGTTCGGCCCCCGGACGTAGTCGTGGATCCAGTGCTCTCCCACGCTGTACTCTCCGTTGGGTGACTTGGTTTTTTTGTTTTTCCTTTCAAAATATTTTTCTTCGACATCTTCTTCTTCTTCTTCCCTCCCCCTTTTCCTGACTTGTTCTTTCTGCTCCCGCACTGTCTCCCCATACTTTTCAGGTTCGAACAATAAATTATGAATACAAAATCGACATAAAATATAGCGAGAAAAGATTTGTACTGATTCACCCTGTACTGTATAACAAAGTTCGAAGCACTTGGTGCAAATAAAATACCCCATGGCGATACAGCCACTTTTATCGTAATAAAAAAATTAGAGTGAGGTCAAATACGAGTTACTCCCTACGGTCTAAGAGCTTAAACTCGACTCGGGATCTAACTCTCCGGACCTCGATTTATAGGAATAAAAGTACAGTCTATGTATTTTGGTGTAAGCATCATCCAAGAGACCCAGAACGTGTGTCACAATACGTCGATTAAAAACCTTTTTTCATGCTGGAAATGGTTTTTAGCCACGAGAGAGTTCTCAAACCATATCCCGTTTCGTTGACAATGTTCCAAAGCCACGCCAGATACTCTGCAGGTTCCTCCTAGGAATACACTGACACCGCTCTCTTCAAAACCAAAAAGTTCCTTCTTCAACTCTTCCATCGTGCTCCGAATGAAAGTTGTGATCAAATGAGGAAGACGTCACTTCACTTTCTACAAAAAATTACTTACCACGTGATTTTTAGGCAGGCTCCGTTAAATTCCGACGGGCCCCATTAAATTCTGGCGGGCTCCATTAAATTCTGGCGGGGGGTCCAATTTGAGGCAAAGAGGGCCGCTGCGAAAAGGGCTGCTAAAAAACCTGAAACCGCTGCGATAAAGGGCTGCAAAGAAGGCTCCTGCCAAAAAGAAGGCTCCCGCCAAAAGGAAGAAGAAGGATGACTGCATCTATCGCAGGAAAACTCTTCGAAGTGTACTGGCTAAAGATGAAAAAACAAAAATTCCGTTAGCCAAGTTTGTGGAGGATGGGTGTGTAAAACCAAACACCAAGATAAAAACAATCATTGATTTATTAGGTATCGGTGGTAACACAATTGCTGAAACCATCAAAGGAGGGTTCAACACAAAAATAATGTAAATAAAAAATTAGAGATGAGAAAGCATGTCTGCTAACGATTCATCACTCACGTTCCATCTACAATAACTATAAGGAAAAGATTTGAAACCCTGTAAGACGTGTTTATCAAAAACTAAACCGTAGCATTTTGTCCTACGCGTGTTTGTTCTCTCACGAAACTTCCCCCAAAATGAATTTAGCATCAACTTAGCTGTGGAACGTTTGCCTGGGTTCTTGCGTATCTTCTGGCTGTCTAATCTGCTACCCTCGTGCTCTTCATAATCCTCCACGTAACGCATTCTAGTGTCAGTATCTGTAGCCCATTCAGGCCACCCTCCACTCTCTTGTTTGTCTTTAAGCCAAACATTGACATAATCTTCAAACAATCCTTTCTTTTGTTGATTGGTGGGAAAATGAACCTCATAAATGTGCAAAATGCGGTAACCCAAATTGACCGCTTGTTTGAGTTCAACGGTACTCCACGTACCAGTCAAAGCGCGCTGTCCCTCCGTATGTGCGCAAACATGTGTACGATCCAGCATGGGTTTTTTAATCTCCTATTCAACATAAGAGCGGCAGAGAGGAAATAAAAGTTTTCCCGAATGTCTAAAAGGCAAGACGAGATGGAATAGATTCTCTGGGGGTAAAATGGTAACTTGAGCCACGCCGAAGTAAGAAGAATATTCTGATCTTGAGGTTGGAAGAAAATTTGAGGGTGACCAGTGGGGTATGTACCTTGCTTGTATACCCAGGGGTATTCGGATGTCACATCAATATGGCGTATTTGCTCCCCCTGCTGTTTGTCAATTACACGGTGAAGACATGTTGCCCCTGTCCTCCCCCCGAATAAAGCATTTCGAGGACTCAATCGGGGTAGTCTTCTTTCAGGGGGTGGATCTTCATCTTTCAACTTTTGCTCCCACTCTCACTTCCAAATCTGTGTAACGTTAAAACCCTGTCCTGTCCACAGTTCAATTTCATGAAGCCTTGCTCTGTATAAAGCTTCCATGCATCGATCGGGGTTCTTGCGAGAGATTAAATTTCTCTTCTTGAAACAATGTTTACATCCTTGCATCAAACAGTCATTGAATAGAAAAATGTTCAGCCCAAAAACTCCGTCGGCAGGTAAAACTCGTACACCTTCGTAAAATTCAAAGTTTCTCCCAATGAGAAGGTCACTCTCTCCACGTTCCAACCAATCCAACCATTCTTGAGCTAAGGGGTTCGGTGAATATTGGTGCTCACACACCCACCCTCTAGGGGGTTCAAGGGCAATTGTATTCTCCTCCATTTGACATTTCCGCCAATATCTATTGCAAGAAGAAGCAATGGTGATACACTTTTCGAGAGGATCAAAGTCTGCCTTTTCTTTAAACTCTTTGATAAATTTCAAACATCCTTCTCGAAGTAAAGCAACATCTGATCCACAGTAAGTAATCATCTCCTCTTTCAGATTGTAAGTCAAATCGAGAGGTTGTTGTTCATACCATTCATTAAATTCTGCTATCTTTGATTTCGACATACCTTAACCCTTTGTGGCCCAAATTTATTTTCACTGCACAGAGGATTTTCTACCAACAATTCTTTTAAAATGGCTAAAATATTCCTCTTAAGACATAAGATAATGAAATTTCTCACACAAGTATACCAATCACCATTCTTTGTTATGAAGTGATTGGAAAAATATTAGACTTTGACTGACACCTGTCAGATGACATCACTTGCTAAGGTACTGTCACACAAGATAATAATGAGTGTTTTTGAATTGTTATGGAACCTCCATTTTTTATGGGAAAAATGCTTGCTATAATCAAAATCAAACCTGTGTTTATGTTTAATATTTTAAAAAGTTAACTTGATGGAAGCAATTATTTACAAGGTTCAAATTTCAAGTCTAGTCATGACATGTGACAAGTAACGCAATCCATCAAAACCAAAACTTGGCATCCAAGTCACCATTTCTTTGGCAATTACAAAAATAAACATAATTTTATCAACTTAGCACAATGTAACTGTGGTTAAGAGTCAGAAACTTTAGATTCTTGCCAAAATTATTGATGAAAGGTGCGGAAACATGGTGCAGCACAAAGACCGACATTACATTCTGGGCAGAAGTAACTTGTCATCTTCCTCACACCAGAATCAAAACATACTTTACACCTTCTTTCCTTTCTCTTCCCACTTTCATTTGTTGGAAGGTACTCAGGAAAGTGCCTTTCTACATTGCACAACAACAATGGCTCATCAGAGGGCCTCCCACGTTTCCTTCGAGAGGAAAAGTCACCAATTAGTTGCTTTGCTAAGTCAATGCGAAAGGATTTCAGGTTTCTCTTTCCATGATTGGGTGACTCCTGTTCCAAAATAAAACTATTGAAAATACTCCTGTCAATAAGATCAAACAAAATTCTAATCCACCATTTCTTTCCAGATACAGGAATGGTGTAGTAGGATTTCATCTGATCATTCTTGTCTACACCACCCATGTATGTGTTGTAGGACGAGATAAGCTGGGGACAGGTAATTCGTTGAATTGTTCCATCTCTTTGTTTCCGGTTGACCTCTGGAAGGTTCTCTTGAGGTGCTTGTGTGTAAGTGCCTGCTGCATGCACTGCCTTCTTATCCATCCAGGTAATTGCAAGTACTGGACCTTTCATTTGCCAAAATACATCACCTCTCTTCATTGACTTTATGCGATCCTTGTCAAAGAGACATCGGGGAAATTCCTTACGCCCTGACCGCAAAGTCCCACAACACAGTGTTTTATTCTGATACAAATCTTCAATCAATCTGTACGAGGTAAAAAAGTTGTCACAAAAAATGGCATACCAGTGACCTTTTATGGTTTCACATAACTTAGTGACAACTGAGTAACCTAGTCCATGTTGAACTCCTTGTTGTGTCTTCCCAGTGTAGATATCAAAGTCACACAAATATCCATTAGTGCTATCTGCCCTACACCACATTTTGATGCCACGTTTGATGGGCTTCATGGGCATGTATTGCTTGAGGGAAGTGCGACCTTTATATTTTATCATAGCTTCATCCACAGCTTGCTCACGGTGAGGGGCATAGTTTATTTGAAAATTTGTTTTCAAATCCTCAATAAATTCCCTAACTTTGAAGAGCTTGTCGAAGTTACTGTCTCCAGGCCTTGGCATTTTTGTGTTGTCACACAGATGAATATTGTTCCAAATGTCCAAAAATCTGTTTCGAGGCATGACCTTTGAGAATGCTGGAACACCCAAAACCCAGTCCGAAGACCAATAGTCCCGTAAACAAGGTAGTCTGTGGATACTCATTCCTATGAGAAGTCCAAAAAATGCCTTCAGCTCTTCCATAGACACTTGCTTCCAAGTGGAAGGATCTTTACCCTTAGATTGCAAAGTCTGGGAGGCATAGCGATTTGTTTCCCTCAATATATTTTGAAGGATCCGATTACTCACAAAAAGAAGAAAGAAATCAAGAGCCAAAGCGCCTACTGGTAAGATGGTATTTGGCCCTACTGCTTTTGAAAACCCAGGAATGTTTATTTCAGACCTGTCATCAGACCAACTAAATTCTTCCACACTTACATTGCTAGGTCTCCCTCTTACCACCTCCTCATCGAAATCGTCGGCTTCTTCAATTTGAACAGTTCGAAGATCTATTTCCTCTTCCTCCTCGTCGGGTAGAGCGACTGAGTCCGCAGGCAAAATAAGATCAGGCTCCTCAAAATCCTCATCATCGAGCCATTCAACGTCTGAATTAACTCCTTCGTCGGGAATATCGAAGTCACCATCCAAATGTAAAAGCACTTCTTCTACTGTATAGCTTCTACTATTCACAGACATATTTACACAGCCCTTCAATTTTCCCGGGAAATTTTCGTGCCAAAGGGACTCGAAAAAACTTGAAAAAATTCGGTGAAAACGCGTCCAATTCAAAACAAACTATAAAAATCCAAGATGGCGATTGTTTTTATTTGACAGAGGCTTGGAAACTAATAGTAG